AGTATATATATATATATATATATATATATATATATATATATATATACACATAAAGTAACAGAATATAGTGCAATCCTTGAAGTGTAATTAGATCTTTTTATTTTAACATGATCAATTAAAAAATATTATTTCTATTATTATTAAAATATAAGTAAATAATTTAATAACAACAACTAAGATTTTTAAATAGAATTATTAGTAACCTTTTGAAACGCTATAGAAATGGTTTGTATTGAGAGGTGAGACTGCAATGCTGTAAGTGTTCTCTGACCTTCCACTGTTTGTGCAGTTTCTTGACTGTTTCCTGCAGATTCTGCTGTTCTTGCTCTGGTAGTATATCTGTGAGTTCATCACAGGCTTTCAGAAAAGCATTGAGAACTCTCTGATCCAGCTGCCCAAAGAACTCCTGCAGGACATTCAATAGAAATGTTATGAAATCATTTCAGCTTTGCAATTTCTCTGAATACATTTCCCTTCTGGAGACCGAATAAAGTTCAAACTCTGCTTTTGGCCTATTTGCCGAGCACTAGAATAGACAGTTGGGTTTCATTTCTCACAGTGTGCTTTTTCAGAAGGTCCTCTGGGTTTCCTCTCTCAGTCATGGAGCTGCAAGCTATTTTCAGAACCTTCTCCAGCTCCACACGAGACTCCTCAAATCTCTTCATCAGGCTGCTGTTCGCCTCCACATGCCTCTTCCATTCTGTGGTTTCTTTTACCATGCCCTTTTTGAGATAAAACATTCAGTACAACAATGAACATTTATAAAAGAAAAATCACAAATGGGATTTATTTCATATAACAATTGTTTCTCCCAAACTACAATGAGATCAAATGGATTCTGCCTACTTCTCCTGATTCTCAGATTGTTGTTCTTCTGTATCTGCTCTAAAGTTTCAGAAGAGATCTCAAACTGTGCTCTGATTTACCAAGATCTTTAGTCATAGATTTTAACATCAAACATGCATAGAAGACATGACGTTGCTCTTCCTCACCTGTGAAGAGGCCTGAAGCTCTGAGATTCTCCTCTCTAGCAGTGACGTGTCCAGGTGTTTTAGGTTCTTGCTGGTGTCCAGTGATTTCAGAATGATCTGATGGTTTTTATCAATCACTGACAGACACTTTTTACAGCTCTGCTGATAGGTCACCAGCTCCTGATGATTGTGTAAATAGTGAAAATACAAAGAGAGAGAATTAATGGCAAATACATTTTTAAATATTGTGTGTTCATAAAACCTTAAAATCATAAAATCATAAAACCACACAAAACAATTTTGGGACCAAAACTGTTGGACAATTTTCATCATACCCTAAAATATTTGGACTCCTGAATAAACAGCTTGACTTGACGCAAAGGTTAAGCTAATTTTTTTAATTACATAGAAGAGTTTTAACCAGTGTAATTTTAGTTATATTGAGATAATTTTATAGTTTTTATTAATATTTTGATTTTTTTTTTCTATTTTTCTATTTTCATTTAAAATGTTTGTATTTTTTTAAGTTTTTTTTTTAATATGTTTATATAATTGAAATATTTTTTTAATTTGTTATTTGTAAATGTATTTATTTTATTTTTATTTAATTTAATATTTTATTTGTTATATTATGTTTTAGTCTTTTAGTTTTTTTAATGCATCAAGTTAAATTAAATGAATACATTGGCTGAAATTGTTTTTTATATACATATGTATGTATGTGTGTGTGTGTGTGTGTGTGTTTGTGTATATATATATTAGTGCTGTTAAACGATTAATCGCGATTAATCGCATCCAAAAGAAAAGTTTTGTTTGCATAATACATGTGTGTGTTCTGTGCATATTTATTATGTATATATAAATGCATAAATTATCAATTAAATTATATAAATACACACACATACAGTATATATATTTAGAAAATTTTTACATGTCTATATTTATATTCACATAATTTATATTATAAATAAATATATTTAATATATAAAAATAACACTCCTCTAAAGGAGGCAGCATGGCCTGGGAGTCCCTCAGCAGGGGCAGAGCTCTTTCTCTTATCTAAACGAGACATTGAGGTCATAATGTGAGACGGTGTAATTACGGTTTAATGTGGAAGTTCATGGGGGAAAATACAGGGCAGGCACCTTGCTGAGCTCATCCTTGATGGCTGCCATGGTAGCCAGCATCTGTGCGATCTCCTCCTCAGTGAGGTCTTTGGTCAGCTGCTGCGCATTACGTGTGGCCGTCTTGCACGCCGCCTCCATGGATGGCACTTTGTGCTTGATGTCCTGTGAGAAATGAGTTATATATAATCTCTAGCTGATGTATCAATAAACATCATTCATTTTTTTATATAAACTGAATGGATAATTGTACAAATTCACATATTACAGTATGTGTCAGTAAGATTTTTTTTTTAAAGAAATTAATTTAATCAGCAAGGAAACTGATCAAAAGTGGCAGTAAAGACATTTATAATGTTACAAAAGATTTCTATTTTTTTAAATGCTGTTCTTTTGCACTTTCTATTAATCAAAAATACTGAAAATGTATCTCGCATTCCACAAAAAATATTAAGCAGCACAACTGTTTTCAACATTTATAATAATAAGAAATGATTCTTGAGCAGCAAATCAGCATATTAGAATGATTTCTGAAGAATCACGTGACACTGAAGACTGGAGTAATGATGCTGAAAATTCAGCTTTGCGTCACAGGAATAAATTACACTTTAAAATATATTCAAATAGAAAAAAACTTATTTAAAATGTTAATAATACTTCACAATTTTATTTTTTCAACTGGATATTTTGAATTTTAAAAAATGCAGCCTTGATGCGCATAAGAGGCATTTTTCAAAAACAAAAAAAAAACGTGTCTCCTAGCACTTGCATATTCTTGCTCTTTTGTTGGATTTGATTGCTTCTAATGTCATAATTTTATGAAGTCGTTTTGGATAAAAGCATCTTCTAAATGTCTAAATGTAAATGTAAAAGTACAAACAATAGTTTCAGCTCCAAAGATTTGAATGGTAGTCTGTCAAGTCAGTCAATAAAGTCAACTGGTCAAAACTGGTGGAAATTCAAGAAAGTGGTCTATGCTGCGACTGACCAATCAGTATCAAGTATTCCAGAGAACCAGCTTTGTGAACTCTGATTACCTCAACGTCTTGTAGATATGTCCGTATGTTCAGAAATGAAACTTGAACTGGAGTGTTCATCCTCTCGTTGGCCGTGTCAATAAATGCCTTTAAAGCTTCGATCCCATCGTCATAATCTTTTCTCAGTTTGTCCACTTCATCTGCTCTTGCATACTAAGAAAAAAATATCATCAGAATTATGTTTACACCAATATGAATATTGACATTATTTCATAAAACGTACAGATGCAACAGACTGTCAATCAGTGTTAATTTTGTTGACGAATAATTTTCGTCATAATTTTCGTCAACGACATCTTTTTCACCGACGACAAGGAGACGATAACAAACTAAAACTCTTTTTGAATGACAAAAACTATGACGTAAATCTATTGACATTTTCAACAAATAAAACGAGACAAAAATGTTAGGGAGGGACGATTTGGGAAGAGATTCATTCAGAACGAATCTGCTGCGTGGTTCGGAGTTTAGATGCGTACATATGAACCGGCGGGACATAGGCTAACATACACTTGCTGCACGTCGCATAAAACGTTCAAAAATGTAAATATGTGGGAGTAAGAGAAGAGCAGACATATAGATAAATCTGATGACGCAAGAGAGAACTCAATTCGGTCTGGTTTTCTGAGCGCAGACACTGAAGCATCCACACACACAGAAAGCGCCTCTCACAGCACGCGAGTACTCTTTTCACGTCGTATTAATGGAGAATTACACACAAAATGATGTCGAATTGTCTGTTTTGCCGAGTATTCACGTAAACACAGTTGATTACGTCTTAAGAGAACGTGTATCAGTACATTGCATCCATTGCATCTGTGCATTTGGTTTTAAAGGGACAGCAGCCTAATTTAGTTGCTATTGTCCGAGTCATTGATGTTAATCAAGCAACAAAAGAAAGACAGAAAATAACGCACTGCTTTTGACTGAAAAACTTTAGTAGCCCTAAAGCTTAATCTAAATTTATTTATAGAAATGAATATGTTTGCTTGAAAGAATGAAGAATATGGTAAACAAGTTGCTATAAAGCATGCATAATTAGCCTATATAACCATTGGTATTTCATTAAAAAGAAGACCATGTTCTTGTTCTTTATGAGACGTGGTTTTATTTAATTTTAACATAAAGGCATGTTGTGTGTCACTGCAGTTAAATCTGTGTCTATCATGATAAAACCTTAATATCAAACCTATATAATGAGTTTGGACATTTTTGAGAAATGCTTAATTTATGCACTGTAACTAAACCCATTCGATTTTAGCCAACTAAATTTACTGTAGATTTAGTCGACTAAAATCTTATGATATTTAGTCGACTAAAACTAGACTAAAACTAAAAACTATTTAGATGACTAAAATATGACTAAAACTAAATGGCATTTTAGTCTAAAGACTATGACTAAAACTAAATCAAAATTTGCTGTCAATGAATGTCAATGAAAAACTAAATTATGACTGTGTTGGGTAAAAGAAACCCTGACTTGAGGGATAAAAGCAAAATGCTTGATGTGTAGTGTAGAATGAGCACTTAAAAGTGACGTCACACATCTTACATGTTTGACTTTGACAAACAGCTCTCTCCATCTGCCGTTGAGAAGAAGCAACTGCTGTTTCAGTTCTCGAGACACGGTCTCGTCGCACGTCTCAATCAGGAAGTTTCCAGCGTCATTCATGTCCATGTGCTGCTGAATCCAGTGTGGAAGATTCCGGAAAAACTCCTGCAGAAGAATTCACACTGTTTATACACAACCGTTCGACAGCATTTCATCTGAAAGTCTCAAACTTTCCAACGCACCCGTTTGTCGCTCTCTGACTGGTTGAGCATCTTCTCAGCGTCCTCCAGCCAGGCCTGCAGGCTGGCCACTGTGCTGCTGTATTTCTCCCAGTTGCAGATCACTTCCTCCAGCATGCTGCGGACGCTCCTCACCTCCACTGACAGGTTCTTCCACTGCGCTGTGGCATCGCTCAGAAACGTATTCACCCCTTCTACCTCCTCAGCTGAAGGCAAATCACATTATGAATAACAGAGTCTTGCACACTAAAAACAAATGCATTTGTCAATCTGATTTTTGAGCTGCACAAGACACACAAATCAATCCCTAGAGTCAGAAAGGTGCCCATTGCTGTGGATTAGACTATCAGCTACGGTAAGTGAAATGACAGAAGGGGTTAGCAGAAGTGAAATCACTGTATTGTGATGTTACACACTTCAATCAAGAACAACCACGTGATCTAAACACCCTAGTGAAAAATAAACATACTAAAATGTTGTAGGATATCAGACCGAATCAGACAATCTAAGATTTGGTCAGAACCGAGTTGAGGCACGAGGAGTCACAAAAATTCCACAGAGGCCCCTGACAACAGGATGTCATAAATCGGACCCCAGCCTCTCTGAAGCAAGCCTAAACCTAAGCCCCTGTCACAGAACAGTTTTCAACATTAACACAAAAGAACACATTGACAAGTCCAATTTTGGGGCAAGTTATCAAGAATAATGGTCAAAAGAGATGCACAGCGTGACCGCCACATGGAAACATGTGACAGTGATCACAAGCTCCTCGTAAATTGACTTCCCCCACTTTACGACAAGAACAGAGAGACTAAAATTCTTTACAGACATTTTAATCTCTGGTCTTCATACATTCACAGAATGGCACGGAAACTGCCTTTCCATGCACCTAAATGACACTAAAAGGACTGGTGACCAGCTAATAATTGCTATGCATAACTCCATATTATGTATCTAACCCACATGTTTAACCATCATGTCTTAATCATTTATTGTGTATGTATTGTTAATAACTATTGAAGAGCTTAAGGGGTCATATTCATGCTTGGTATGTGTGAGTTTAAGAATTCATGCTTGAAACGTTTCTTCCAATCAATACTTGGTCAAATGTATCATATTCTTATTATAAGAAATCATGTCCAAAATGTATACTCTACCAGAGCGGGAAAAACGCAGATCACGTGAATGATGAGATAACAGTTGATTTATGAATGGGAAGGAGAAACATTGCAACACCCCGAGCTACAATTGGTCAAAACACCATTTGGGGGTGTTAAACAGCCTGGTTTAAATACTCAGGACACCATCAAACTGCGCGCTTTTTGGTCTTTTGCCTTTTTCCTTTTTGCGGGTCTGACTTTTTGTGTCTAGCTTTTAGCCATGCGGCTTTTAGCTTTTCACTCCTAGTCATGCTTCTTTAGTTTTGAGCGTGGTCTGGCTTACACGCCAGCTCCTCCAAAACCATGAGAAGAAACGCCACCTGGTCTCATCCAACTTTACATCTATTTCTATTTCTTTAGTTTGTTTTATTTTCCGTTGAGAGTTTCGTGTTCTGAGTTAAGCCGAACGCCGCATCTCCGAAAGAGTGCTGTCTACCCTTCAACTGCAGACCACAGCTCCGCGTCGCCAGCCAACGCCCAATCACTGGCTTCCCAAGACTGAACCTCCAGCCAATCAGCAACCTCGGGAAACCCCTTTCAGCAGACAAGGAAGGGAACCCCCGACACAGGAAAGCAAGTACCCCAGATTGTAACTGAACTGGTGCATTTAATCTCAATTTTAACCTCATTGAGGAACTCAGTGCGAGGGTTAATTAAGTGATTGATGGTTGTTCAGATCTATACAATGGCACATATTGCTGTAACTTGGGATTTCACATTTTCATTCTCTTAAACTAATTATTTTCCTCACTTTCTCTCTTTCTGCAACTTGTGTGTGAATGCGTGTGTTAGATTAGTTTATATGTCTTAGATTTATCCAATAAAGCCTTATTTATATGGAAAAGAGAAGTATCTTGTGTTTTGTGCTCACAAGTTAATGTCTTAAACTGCCGATCTTGTTACTATGCTAATTAATAGTGTTTTCACTATATTTTGGATATTGATATCCATTGCAGAATTGATGTCATACGGCTCGTTCACTGACTCGCTGGCCGTCTCAGTGATCCGCCGTAAAACAGTGATTCTGTCCTAATTCCCTTGCATATTAATAGTGGAGTTCCCTTTAAAATCTTAAATGATTCCCTTTGAGCTAAATTATTAAATTATTATCACTGTTTACCCTACAATGTATTTGAAATACATTTATTTCATGCTAAGTATACTACAAATACATTGACATAAAAATAACCTTTTGGAATGCTAAACTGGTATACTTAAAGTCTGCTAAATTGGGACAACTAATTTTGTACTTCATGTACATTAATTGTGCTGAAGTCACACTAAAGGTATAATGAAGTATATTTGATTGTGCTAAAGTGGAACTATTGCAAATATACTTTAAGTGCAATTTAACTATCTTGCATTTAAAGACTGGTATTATTCATACAGTCCTCATCAAAAGTGACATTAAAACACATTTTAGGCTTAATATTAAGAAATGTGCATTGTACGCCATATAATGTACGGGTACAGAAAGTATTCAGACCCCCTTAAATTTTTCACTCTTTGTTTATAATCTCTGAAAATACTTTCTTTTCTATGGATGTAACCACGTTCATATGCATCAGAAAAATAATATTAAAATAATATTGTCCGATTTTTACATTTTATAAAACTCGACGACATGATGCTAGATTGTTCTGGGTGGTTGCTAGGGTATTACTATTTGGTTGCTAGGGGTGTTTGATAGGGTGTTGCTATGTGGTTGCCTGGGGTGTTCTGGGTGGTTGCCTGGGGTGTTCTGGGTGGTTTCTAGGGTGTTGCTTTGTGACTGTCTGGGGTGTTCTGGGTGGTTGCTAGGACACTGCTATGTGATGTGCCTGGGGCGTTCTGGGTGGTTGCTAGGGCGTTGCTATGTCATTGTCTGGTGTTGCTATGTGGTTTTCCGAGGTGTTCTGGGTGGTTGCTAGGGTGTTGCTATGTGATTGTCTGGGGTGCTCTGGGTGGTTGCTAGGGTATTGCTATGTGATTGTCTGGTGCGTTCTGTGTGATTGCTAGGGTGTTGCTATGTGATTGTCTGGGGTGCTCTGGGTGGTTGCTAGGGTGTTGCTATGTGGTGTATACCGCAAAACAAAATTTTAAATAGTTTGTTTTTATTTTGAAATGTTTGCTTTTCATCTGTCAATGTACAGTATATTTGCTTATTTTCCATTTTATTTAGAATAAAAAAAAATCTACCATAACTTTATTTAAAAACAAAAAGATTCCACTGCCTAAATGAAAATATCAATATGTATAAATAAAAATAATGCACTTTATGTTCTTATGCTGCGGCATTTCTCCCTTTAACAAAAAATACATTTTAAAAAGTAAACAATGTGTGTGCAATGATGTTTTCTGACTAAAACGTATTTAATATAAATATTATTATAAATGTTTGCACAGATTTTTAACTCAGAGCGGTATCATGGGATAATATTATTTTCAATTATAAAATGTGATTTATTGATAATTACTCAAAGAATTGATATGATCAATTATTCAGTATATATTTATTTAATGGCATATGTATGTTTCTGTCATTTACGAAGTTACGGTAACCAGTGTTGGGGAAAGTTACTTTTAAAAGTAATGCATTACAATATTGCGTTACTCCATAAAAAAGTAACTAATTACGTTACGTAGTTACTTTTTATGGAAAGTAATGCGTTACGTTACTTTTGCGTTACTTTTTAAATCTGGACAGGGATTGCTTGTTTGTTTTTAAAATAAAAAATAAAAAGTTATATTTTTGGCAAATATAAAAGCCATTTCACACCAAAAGTGAAATGAATAAGCCTCAGGCTGAAGGGAAAGTAAATTACGTCCGTACAGTAGAATGCAGAAGAAGCAATTTCAACACACTTCAGCAATAAAAAAAGACAAATGTTTGTCTAAAGTAATTTGTGCTTATTAGTACGGTTGAACTGGATCATCGAAGGTCAGAAGCAAAGACATTGGTTAATAGAATGGGATTAAATACATAAAGGACATTTGTGTCGTTTAACATTCAATTATTGCAGGTTTGCGTCATATTCTGAGTTGCATTATTTTTATCCATTTTGAGGAATACTGAATCTGTTTGATTTTTTGTGTGAGTGAGATGAATTAATGCATATTCATATCTATTTTAGAACTACAGTAACATCTGATTTCTCTCAACATGGGGACAGGAGAGCTGCCAATCAATACATTTGAAAAAAAAAAAGTAACTCCGATATTCTCTTGTAAATGAAAAAGTAATGCGTTACTTTACTAGTTACTTGAAAAAAGTAATCTGATTGCGTAACTCGCGTTACTTGTAATGTGTTACCCCCAACACTGATGGTAACTATGTTGTAATAATGTTTCCTAAACTTTTCTAGCACATATGGCATTGTTTCTTGAGAATGTCCCATGCACTAAATGAACCTCATGCAGATGAGGCATAATCGACTCTTACCTGTAGAGCTGGGATAGAGAGAGCGAACGTAGGAATGGAACGAACCAGCTACGAATGCGCATGGCGAGTGGTACAGACACAGAGACAGAGTGAGCACACAGAGCAATGCACTATGGGCGTGATTCTAGAGTAAAATGATTCTTGAATGGATTCCACATTGTGATGGACCACAGTAATGGTTAGTGACTGATGAGGAAGCACTACAGCAGTGACTGCAGTAAATAACAACAGCAAGCAGCTAGTGTATTTTTAGCTTATACATGAGCATAAGCACTAGAGCGTACCTCCTCTTGCTGTCCATCTGTCTCAGACTGGTGGGGATCTGGATAGTGCTTCAGGAACTGAGCTACGTATGTCATTATGGACTTCTCATCAGGCTTGTCCACATCCACATCTGCAGTAAAACAAAGTTATAGATTTGAACCCCACAAGTGGAAATCCTTGAGATATTACCATTGTGCTGTTTATGTATCTATGCATGCATTTAGCCTTTGTTTGAGTTTTACCGTGCATCATCAAGTGACTGTCATATTAGATGATCCACTGACCTGAAGAGGCTTTTTATAGCCTCTTCAAAAGGCTTCTGCCATATCACATCATGATGTCATGCTAGTCTCTGTCTGATCTGGCCTGCTGACATGCTTGAATAGCAGCATGGCCTACAAACTATAACAGCGTCCGTCTATAATGAGGCTTGATAATGGTGGATCTCCAGTATAATTAAGCAGTGTCTATTCAAATCAAACTCAAAACAAATGAGTGGCTCGTCAAAAGCACAACAGATCATTGACAGAATCTACATTATTAACCACACAACATTAGTATTGGTGATACATTCATGGTATTAGATGGTTATACCACATATTATAAAACGGATAGTTCCGGTCCTTGATTCTGATTGGTTCTCCAGTATAATTAAGCAGTGTCTATTCAAATCAAACTCAAAACAAATGAGTGGCTCGTCAAAAGCACAACAGATCATTGACAGAATCTACATTATTAACCACACAACATTAGTATTGGTGATACATTCATGGTATTAGATGGTTATACCACATATTATAAAACGGATAGTTCCGGTCCTTGATTCTGATTGGTTGAGCCGCGTCCGAAGCTGTTGTAAATTACTCTACAACACACACCTTTGTTTACTTTGTGTGTTGCTTTGCAACCACTTTATTGCAACCACAACTGTTTCTGAGGAACTACATTGATTGGTGGAAGAATACTGTTTTTATTAATATCATTACACTTTATTTGCTCTGTTTTATTTTGTGAAACCTTACTACATATATGGAATAACCGTTTTATAAAAGCAATAAGCCCCGTGAAGCCGTGGTTTACAGTGAATTTATAACAGATAAGAGGCTTCGCGTCGTGCCTAACAACGCCCGTTAGCGGTTATAAATTCACTGTAAACCACGGCTTCACGGGGCTTATTGCTTTGCTATACTATACACTATACTTTTACTATAATTATTATATTATTACAGTTTTTATTAATATTGTAAATTTGTTTTTGTTTTTATATTTTCATCTTAATTTAAATTTTTAGAAGCTTTAGTAATTTTGTTGTGTTTTTGTCATATTTTCGGGGTTTTTTTCTTTATATATGTCTATATATTTTTATACATTTTAGTTTCAGTTTTAGTTAATTTACTACATCATGTTAAACTAAATGAAAGTAATGTTGCCTTGGCAGCCAGCTGAAATAATAAAAGTTTATTAATAATAAAAAGGTTAGTAAAAAAGTTTTTTTTTCCATTTCAGTTAATGTTGGCTTTATTTCAAGTAACAAAACCGTTTTTATGGTTTTAGTTTTATTATACCATGGTACCTGCGTGGTAATCAAAGGTAATTTAAAAGAATGCCATTATATTAACATTGTATCTAAAAAACATGGAATTCTCAAAGAACCATTTGCAAAAACCATAATAACACCATATTGCTATTTTGTAAGTCGACATGGCTTATCTCAAGGGAAATTTTGGAGTAAAATAAGCCGTATCATTACCTTCAGGATCTAGTAAACGTGGTATTCCCAGTTCGTTCTCTGCCACGCTGAAAGCCTCCTCAAGGTTCTCGCGATTACTTCTTTTTCTCACTATGTCCATGTCCACAAGTTCTGGCCGAATGGCATGAATAACAGAATGGAAGGCCAAACCGCTGCGCCAACTAGGACCAAAGTCTTTAACTTCAATCCCAAGACGCCTCGAGAGAAGAAATAACATCTCATTAGTTGGTTGAGCCGCGTTCGAAGCTGTTGTAAATTACTCTACAACACACACCTTTGTTTACTTTGTGTGTTGCTTTGCAACCACTTTATTGCAACCACAACTGTTTCTGAGGAACTACATTGATTGGTGGAAGAATACTGTTTTTATTAATATCATTACACTTTATTTGCTCTGTTTTATTTTGTGAAACCTTACTACATATATGGAATAACCGTTTTATAAAAGCAATAAGCCCCGTGAAGCCGTGGTTTACAGTGAATTTATAACAGATAAGAGGCTTCGCGTCGTGCCTAACAACGCCCGTTAGCGGTTATAAATTCACTGTAAACCACGGCTTCACGGGGCTTATTGCTTTGCTATACTATACACTATACTTTTACTATAATTATTATATTATTACAGTTTTTATTAATATTGTAAATTTGTTTTTGTTTTTATATTTTCATCTTAATTTAAATTTTTAGAAGCTTTAGTAATTTTGTTGTGTTTTTGTCATATTTTCGGGGTTTTTTTCTTTATATATGTCTATATATTTTTATACATTTTAGTTTCAGTTTTAGTTAATTTACTACATCATGTTAAACTAAATGAAAGTAATGTTGCCTTGGCAGCCAGCTGAAATAATAAAAGTTTATTAATAATAAAAAGGTTAGTAAAAAAGTTTTTTTTTCCATTTCAGTTAATGTTGGCTTTATTTCAAGTAACAAAACCGTTTTTATGGTTTTAGTTTTATTATACCATGGTACCTGCGTGGTAATCAAAGGTAATTTAAAAGAATGCCATTATATTAACATTGTATCTAAAAAACATGGAATTCTCAAAGAACCATTTGCAAAAACCATAATAACACCATATTGCTATTTTGTAAGTCGACATGGCTTATCTCAAGGGAAATTTTGGAGTAAAATAAGCCGTATCATTACCTTCAGGATCTAGTAAACGTGGTATTCCCAGTTCGTTCTCTGCCACGCTGAAAGCCTCCTCAAGGTTCTCGCGATTACTTCTTTTTCTCACTATGTCCATGTCCACAAGTTCTGGCCGAATGGCATGAATAACAGAATGGAAGGCCAAACCGCTGCGCCAACTAGGACCAAAGTCTTTAACTTCAATCCCAAGACGCCTCGAGAGAAGAAATAACATCTCATTAGAAGACTTACTGACAAATTAGGCCGGTTTTTATACACAATTCTTGTTGGTTGGCATATCCATTTCAAATTATAAATTTAAACCCTCGATTAGGCCTGGGCGATAAAACGGTAACGGTACACCTTCTTCGATAACGATAGAAAACTTTTTCGATATAGCGCACGATATAGGCACGAGCTATGAGTGACGCAGACAGCACACACAAACATGAACACATGCTGAATTGAGTGCTGTGCCTGCCTGTGATGAGGAGACTGTAAATAAAGAATGAATATTAGTCGAATTTAAAATAAACATTTGCATCTGAATGTTAGGTGTGCATCAGGGAGCGTCATCACAACGGCGTGTGAGATGCAGTGATAATGATGTAAGTGTTAGTCTTTTGTTAGTCTAGACTCTAGCCCACGAGACGCGCCGCTGCTGCGTTATTCATTCAAAATATTAGAGAAATATAGAAGCTCAATGCGGAGAAGATATTGATCGCATTTTTTAGATGGACAGACTGCAGCACTCGCGTCTCACACAAGAGATGTATAGAAAGCCATGCAAAGTTAAAACAGTTTAAACTTTTAGAAAACACGTCACGAATTTGTGGAGGTTTATTCCTTTTCACTGCGTCTCATATGTTTTTAAATGCAATCTGTGTGAATGGCGCTTCGGCTCTTTGGATTAAGCCATGCATAAATACATGATGCTGTTTTGTTCATAATTATTTATGCAATTTACGAAATTATATTAGATTTTTATGAGTTAATTTAGACGTAATGCAAGTTTTTTATAGTATTAGAGAAATATAGAAGCTCAATGCGGAGAAGATATTGATCGCATTTTTTAGATGGACAGACTGCAGCACTCGCGTCTCACACAAGAGATGTATAGAAAGCCATGCAAAGTTAAAACAGTTTAAACTTTTAGAAAACACGTCACGAATTTGTGGAGGTTTATTCCTTTTCACTGCGTCTCATATGTTTTTAAATGCAATCTGTGTGAATGGCGCTTCGGCTCTTTGGATTAAGCAATGCATAAATACATGATGCTGTTTTGTTCATAATTATTTATGCAATTTACGAAATTATATTAGATTTTTATGAGTTAATTTAGACGTAATGCAAGTTTTTTATAGAGTTACTTCCTTACGTTGACAATTTAAATGCGCTGCATTATTTTGCTCATTGCGCCCTCTTGTGGCCTCGGGAGTCAAGCCAAAAGTTTCCTTAAGACCTATTTAATCTGCATATAAAACATTAGAAATTAGATATTTTTATTTTTTTTTATTTTGTGTTTGATAAAACAAAAAAATATTTGTTGTTTGTCTCAATAAATTGGGTTAATTTAAAAATACAGTGGTTAAATTTAAACATTTTTTTCTATTGCTTTGTTTTAAAAAACGGTTATTAAAAATGTCAATAATTATCGATACCGAACGATATAAAACATTTATATCGTTAATACATTTTTTAGCTATATCGCCCAGCCCTACCCTCGATAGAGCTTGTATTTACTTGGTTGCTGTGCTTTGGACCCATCTGAGCATGGCTTTTTTGGCATTGCCCTGAAACTTTGTCATCCCTTTGCGTTTCATAGGTGGGCTTCCTGTTTCCGAGCTGGCCATGCTGTCCACTGAAGACGCACTGCTGGATAAAGCCTGAAGGGCTGCAAGATTACTGGTCAACTCCTCAATCTGCAAAAGTTCCGGGGACAGATCCTTACAACCCAGATACACACAGACCTATTTCAGTTTTCCAGATCCTACCATCATAATTGGCAAACATTACCTGGAAATAGAGGATAATGGTCCATATCAGCCCCAATACGATGGACGGTTGTTTTAAAAAACGGTTATTAAAAATGTCAATAATTATCGATACCGAACGATATAAAACATTTATATCGTTAATACATTTTTTAGCTATACCGCCCAGCCCTACCCTCGATAGAGCTTGTATTTACTTGGTTGCTGTGCTTTGGACCCATCTGAGCATGGCTTTTTTGGCATTGCCCTGAAACTTTGTCATCCCTTTGCGTTTCATAGGTGGGCTTCCTGTTTCCGAGCTGGCCATGCTGTCCACTGAAGACGCACTGCTGGATAAAGCCTGAAGGGCTGCAAGATTACTGGTCAACTCCTCAATCTGCAAAAGTTCCGGGGACAGATCCTTACAACCCAGATACACACAGACCTATTTCAGTTTTCCAGATCCTACCATCATAATTGGCAAACATTACCTGGAAATAGAGGATAATGGTCCATATCAGCCCCAATACGATGGACGGGCGTCCATCAGCAATGTCAGTGGCATTGATATTGACTAGTTTGATCTGGAAAATAAATATTTCTCATGTTAGAAAGTCTAAATCATTTGAAAACATTAATGTAACAGACATCATCCACAGATCTGAGGTCAGTGCAAACAAGCCAGTCAAAACCAGCACTATGAATCGTGCAGAATAACACCAGGAACGTGCATTAAGAAAGTAAACAGGGTCTATTTTGACTTCATGTCGACTTGAATAAAAATAAGTAGCCAGACATATTCACTTCTTAGGGAATAAGCAAATATGAATGCACAGAGTATATGAGGAACATGTGAGTGAATAGGAAAAAGCAGTGTGCTCATGGTCAGCCAGTCACAGACATCATAAGAGATGCTGTAGAAAAAACAAGCTTTCTAAAAATAATTGCGGCTCTTTCAGCCAGTAGCGGCTTCAGCAGAGATCAGTAAATAATGGAGTTCCTCGCTGCATATGGTACGCATCATCAAATGCAGATATGCATAACAAGAGGAGGTGTTTGAGAGAACTGTGACTAGGAGAAGTACTGACCGGAGAACCTCGGTACACAGACTGAGACAAGACATGTTAAGAGAGAGCACACAGTTAGAAATGAAGTATGAAGACGGATGCCAGACTGGGGCATATGAACATATTCAATGATCAGATAAGACTACAGATATGGCTGGATCATTCTTATTGTGCAGTTCATTTAGCATCAGTAAAAAAAAAATTGGGGGTGGGAAGTTAATACTTTTATTTAGCAAGGATGCAATAAATTGATCAAAAGCGACAGTAAAGACATTTCTAATGTTACAAAATATTTCTATTTCAAATAAAAGCTGTTCCTTTACACTTTCTATTCATCAAATAATCCTAAGAACAAATAATGCATCATGGTTTCCACTAAAATATTAAGCAGCAGAACAATTTTCAACGATGATAATAATAAGACATGTTTCTTGAGCAGCAAATCAGCAATTTAGAATGATTTCTGAAGGATCACGTGACACTGAAGACTGGAGTAATGATGCTGAACATTCAGCTTTGCGTCACAGGAATAAATTACAGTACAATATCAATTTTACAATATATTCAAACAGAAAATAGTTATTTTAAATTGTAATAATTTTTCACATATTACTTCTGCTTTATTTTTTAATGCACCTTTAAGCATACAAAAAAAAATGTATAACTGAAATCATCTTAGTTTTTCTTTTATCTTAAATATTTTTACATAATTAAATTTTTTTATATATATAATTTTTTTATCTATTTAAAAAAAAAAATTAAATAGCTATTAAATATAAAAACAATATATTATTGTAATTGGTGATCAGTTTATATGTTTTTCTTCCATATCATGTCTTGTATAAAAATCCCTATATCTAAACGCAGCTTTAATGGCATGGAAGTGACATACGTAACGTAAGTATTATCAATGCATTTAATGAATTCTTCTGGGATGTCACTCTAAAACATCTATCATAATTGATCAAATTACACAAATCAGTTTAATTTTTCAAAAGAAGGAAAAATACGAAAGTTCATTTTTAAGTTGACACCCTCATGTAAGCTTGCCGTCAATTCCTCACTGAGCAATTACGAACTTCCATCCTGTTAATTTCTTGTCCTTGTCTGAGCATATTTCTGACAGTCTGCTATATCCTTTTCTAGAAAGACTTCCAGAAATTATAGCGCAATCATATTCATTTTTAAAAGCTAGAAAGGTACTGCAGAACAGGAATGACCCAGCAGGGAGTGTTATACAGAATATCCCCATATAATTAAGACAGATGAGCAGTTCAGTGAGACAGATGAGATAACCGGAGTGTTACCTTCCTTCCCTCCAGGAACTTAAGAGCTGTGCCGATGTTGGACACCCAGTGGATCCTTTTGAGTTGGCGGCCCTGTTCGCATGGCTGCGGGGAAGTACGAGGGGTTTATCAGGAGGGGAAATGAAAGGAAGGACTCTATCAAGCCCATCATCTTGGCATTAAACAGACTTTGCCACACCAGCTGCTGCTGCGCTCAATGCAGAGGTTTCACAGAGAGATAATCTGCAGATATTGCATCACAGAAACACTTACTAATCTCTGTCCAGACAGCACCTCTAACAGAGCCAGCAGTTTCACCCCATCCTTGATGTCCTCAAAGAGGTCGTTGACTTCAAAAGGAGGTTTGTGCTGGAAAAGGACAAAAAGAAGAGGAATAAATGAACTGTGAACTTAATGAACCCTTATAGTGTGTTGGATGCTTCTGCTCTAATGTCTTCTACTTTATTATTCTCATTCTACTTCATCCTTATTCTACCTTAAAAGTTGCTTTAGATCACCTGCTGAATAAATACATATAAATGCTTTTAGGTCATCAGAAATTCCTCTCTTCATCCCCAGAGGAATTTAAGTTTCTGGCTCAGAAAATGCTCTTTCATAGTTTGGGATACATGAAGCATAACAAGTTCTCACTAATGTTTACAGCAGATGTTTGTCTAAAAATGTGTTAGGAGAAATAAAAAATGATGCAATTTAATGAATAATTGATATAAAGTAAGAGTACAGAGCTATAAAGTTATTGTGGATAGCAGAAATAGAAATGTTTAAACAAGCATTGGTAAAGTGTCAGTTTATGAGGGGACTTTATCTCTTCGAAATTTCATGATTATCTCTCCTCGCCTAATTTTTCCATCTCACATCACACTTGAAGTGCCACGCAGCATTTAAACTCAAGACTGAAGATACAATCTGTGCAGGCAGATGAAACTCTAGCAAAAATAAACTGTAAATGCAAATCTATTTTTCATGATGAAGCAGTGAAATATTCACAGGGAAACACACAAAGGCAATATAAATGCTTGTTTATACAAATATGGTGATTGTTCAGTTTGATGCCAGTGTGATTTTTTTAAAGAAATTATTACTTTCATTCAGCAAGGACACATTCAATTTAAAGTAAACACATTTATAAAGTAACAAAAGGTTTCTATTTCAAATAAATGCTGTTTGAAATTCTACAGTGTTTATCAAACACTGAAAAAAAATCCTGTTTCCACAAAAACATAAAGCAGCACAACTGTTTTCAACATAATAATAATAATAACATAACAACATAATAACATGATAATAAGAATTTTTTTCTTGAAAAGCATGTTACACTGAAGACTGGCGTAATGATGCTGATAATTCAGCTTTGCATCACTGGAATAAATTGCATTTGAAAATATATTCAAATAAAAAAACTTGTTACTTTAAACTGTAATAATAATTTCCAATAATATTAAAATTTTTACTGTACTTTTAATCAAATAAATGCAGTCTTGCTGAGTAAAAGAATCTTTAAAAAAAACTGACCCCAAACTTTTGAATAGTACTGTATCAATGTAATATAGTACTACAATCTGGCACTTGCATCATTGTAAAGCTACTGTACCATGTTTGTAAGGACTAGAATTCAGTACATGATGCAGGTCTGAGTTTATTTTGAAAATCTCAGCTCAGCTGCTCCCATTCAAACACCAAAAAAAAAGTGCAAATGCACAATTTTAAAGGAAATGGACACAATAGGAAAAGATAAGAGATGTGTCAGATGTCGAACCAAAATAGACAGAACTTTCCATCACGCAAAAGCTTAAAGGGGTCATATGATGCGATTTCAAGTTTTCCTTTCTCTTTGGAGTGTTACAAGCTGATTGTGCATAGATAAGATCCCTAAAGTTGCAAAGACTAAAGTCTCAAAACCAAAGAGATATTCTTTATCAAAGTTAAGACTCTGTCACGCCCCCCTAAAACGTCTCGTTCTAACACGCCCCCCCCACATATCTACCTCACTATGTGGAAATAGTAGCATAATGCCGCCCAAATGTGCACGCAAAGAAAGAAGGCGTGGTTTCAGGAACAGCAGTAGTGTTGA